TGCGTATGACCACCCACATATTTGTAAAAGTAATAGAAGTATTGTGAAAGTAAAATGAAAGAAATCCCATTTCATATATTCAATAGAGGCTATCCAGTATATTATTTCTTTTGTGTCTAAAATCTCATAGTTATTTAAAATCTCATGGAAACCTCTTATGGAACTTTTTTGTTAATGAACAACTAAATTCGACAAATCTATATGATCCAACCATATATAAATAAGTGAAGTGAGTGTATGAAATCGTATAATACATTTTAAAAAAGAGCACGAGAAACAATTAATTGAATAGAACAAAAAATGGTGCCTTACATAATATAATTAAGAAAAAATTATAATTTCTTCTACTATTTAAAATAATTCAATAATATTTTATAAAAATAATTTACATACAATGGTTTTTTATTTTTTTCTAGTCTTTAATTCTCTATCCTGGTAAATGTAATATTTTTTCTTGGGTTATTCTTGCACTATGTTTTGTATTTGCTATTTGATCATGCACATCTTCTATTTTCCTTTCTTATCCTAAATTGATTGCGAGCACATTCTCATTTTTATGTACATAAAAAAAACCCGAATATGTAGGTGGAATATGAAAGAGGAATGAAGAAGAAGGAAAGAATACAGAATTTGTATGATATATTCTTGGAAAAAAATATTATATTGATGAAGAACGAAAATACTTTCTTGGATGATTTGTATATTTTTGACATTATATAATATATTTATTAAATGCTACATATACATATAACAATAAATGATTATCGTTCTTTCTAAGAGCTCTTATTACATTTTGCACATGTACTTATGTAGCAACTTGTTTTTTGCACCATAGCAATTACCATACCAAAATATATATTATAGCTGAAGCATTTCATATACGTTCCGATGCACATAAAATTCCGAATTTATTTTCAAATGTGGAATTTTTTCCATCGTGTAATGTGTGATCAAAGTTCAGTGAATTTCTACTTTTAATGTATAAAACGAGAATTATATGGTGTGACGAAAAACATTTTATTATATTTAACAGAAGTAAATAATTTTAATATTTTTCATAACTTTAAAATAATATTCAAAATATATACTTGAAGATAGTATTTTATGATACTTATATGCGCCTCGTTTATTATTAACTACATACATTTATACCAAATACATTTTTATTTTAGAATTTTCAGATTATTTGCTAATAATACATTTGGTATCGTCTGATATTACAAAAAACTTTAGCAATATTTTTTTACTCAGAATTTTATGCATTATTGGAAAATAGGTGAATTTGCATAGAAAAATCGTCTTAGCGTTATCATTTGCGTATACATGTGTACATTTATAATGTTATTCTCTCAATAGAAAATATTTATTTAGAAATTATCTGCAATATTTTAAGCAATATACTCATAGAGATACGTAACAAGAGAAGTCAATAGGAAAAAATTGTATGGCTTCTTATCAAGTCTTTATTTCCTTCAAAGTACTATTCTGATAAATTTTGAGTAACTATGCGTTATCTTTCGAAGAATATTGTCAATATTCTTCCAATATTTCCAATTTAACATTATTATTGTTTTCTATTGAAGATATGATATATCGTGTTGTCTATCAGTTTCATCAATATTTCGATCGGAATGTGCTATTTATCGTGAAAGTGGAATTACATTTTAATATCTTCTTAGGATAAATATTTTGTTTCTACAAGACAATTGTGCTCTTAAAATTATGTTCTTTCAAGATAATTGTAAGACATCAGAAAATGGATTTGGAACTTTTTTATTAGCTAGGAAATACTTAAAATTTTTTACCTACAATGAATTTCATTTATTTCTTTATTGATGAAAATTAATTCTGAAGCTACATACTTATTTTTTTAAAGTAACTTGAAAACCAGTTCATTTTTATATCAGCTTCAACAGGAACTCAGAGAAAAGCTCTCGTTCCTCTTATTGCTGTAACTATTCGAAGGGAGAAAATATCACAGAAATTTCCCAGAATCCTCGCGATCGCAGATGTTTTCTGAATTTTCTATTAAATATTGGATAAAGAAACTCGAAAGGGTGATTTTTGCATCACTTTCGAGATAAATGGCTCCGATCGTCACTCACGTGCGTCACGTTTGCTTTTCTTCTAGAAGTAAAGCACAACGAGGTATAACGATACTTTTAGCGCGACAATGGCAACGACAACCAATTCCAAAAAGCAAGACACCACCGCCGTCGACGAGGACGACGACATTTTCTATTACATCGGTGTAAAAGCATCACCGTTCTCGGCCAATACCGCGGTTTTCGGTATGTCACCGAAGGAGGTATCGGCCATACGCTGTCGTTTCCCGCTGTCCCCCTGTAGCACAAATGTCGTGAATGGAATTATGCTTAAAGGTTAATAACCCAGAATTTCGACGAGATTAAGAATTGCACGAACCATTTTCTAAAGTCCCGAAAAGATTCAAGATTTCTCGATTACGATGCAATTTTTATTTACGCGCAAACGTTAACTCTACTACTAAGTACATGCAATACGTGCATGTTAGAGATAAAAGTACTTACTCAATATGATTATGAAATCTTTGTTAATTATATAGTATTACCTAGCAAAAGTAGCAAATGCAAGAAATTTAAATGATTTGTACAATTATCCGAGATTTTTTAAAATTATGATCTTGTAAGAATACGTGAAGCAAACGCATCATAATTGTATGAAATTGTTAAGGAATACCCTTAATTTTATATTTTCATTACACTGATCGATTCAATCAGTAATTATAAAAATAATTTATAAAAAAAGAAATGTTAATTATGTAAGAATTGTTTAACAAACAATTAAAGTAAAATGACTGAAATTGCAAATGATTTAAGATCAGTTGGCTATTAGGTTGCAGTTGATATAATAGTGTCAGCAGAAAAAGCAGCTTTGCTAGTATTTTAAGATTTTTTAATACGATTGATTCTTATCTTTAGTTTCTCATTGAGTATAAATATATGAACCATCGGATTAAAGAATTTTATAACAATTGCAAAGCTTTTTCTGCTGATCACAGCCATTATTTTGTGTTGGTTAATTAAAAATAATAAATCAAAATAGATTATATATATGTCGCGATTTTTCATACGTTTCATTTTATTTTTATTTTCTCAGTTCAAGAAAGCATGTAGTTGAAGAGTTAATGTTTTCATGTAAATTAATAGTATTAACAATAATGCAATGTAATTTGTTAATAAAAGATACGATACTTGTGATTGAAATATACATTTAATAAATATTACATTTAATTTATATTTAATAAATATTATATTCGATTTGACAATATTTGTAGGAAAAATTCTTTTAAACACGTTTAAATAGATTTGTGATATTTGTATTAATGAGATTCTTGGATCTTTTGTGGAGCTAATCTTTTGTCATAGCCACAAGTATTAATATTATCATTTTGTTGATTGCGACAAAATGATTTAATAGTTTTTAAAAGTTTAATTTAATAGAGATATATGAAATTTCATTATTAAGATAGATATTACAACAATTTATTAAAGTTTTGAATAAAACCAGTCGTGATCTAATAGTAATAATATTAGCTTCTTTATAGGATATCCTTTAGGAACTTACACGTTGCAAAATTGATTTCAGGCACACCATTCGCCGTCATAAATGCTCTAGCTGAGCTCGGCTATCGAGTTATTTGTACTACCGGAGAAGCCGAGGTACTTTGGACACTGCAGCGGGATTGTTAACACTTTAAAAATGGGCCTTACTGCAAATGCATTATATGTCTAAACATATATTCTCTTGTAACTTCTATATATACAATATGTATGTGTCTTTATGAATCAAACTGTAGAAATTAGTATTAATGAATCGATGAGATTTGTAACTTCACTTTGTTCTTTTATTTTTGCATCTACTTTTATATCTTGGAATGATGAATGTTTGCGGAAATTATATTTGTAACTGCGCCTCGGGAAAAGTTGAGTTAGATGTATATGTGTGCGGACCAATTAAAGGCAATAAAAAGGCTTTGTTTAAAGATGATTTACCTTGCAAAATTGGATATTGGTATGTATCGGAAGTACTGAAATGCAGCTTTCCGTTAGAATAATAAAAAAAAATAAATACATTCCATCTTTTCCTTAGGAAACTTACACTTTAATTCTTGTGCGAAATCACACGAATGAATTCTCACGTTATCGGATGTGATATATTATGTACCGCGGCAGTGATGAGTTCCTTCTTTTATCTCGACTTCGAAAATGACGCGGTAAAATTGTATAATCATGATAAGACTGTTTAGAGGGGAGGGAAGCATGATTCCGGAGATTGTGAACCACGTAAACACTTCTGCAAAATAATCACGTTGCGGATAATAATACCTTACAAGCGGTTGCGGAAATTTCGTCAGACCAAAGGTGCATGTGCTAATTGCGTCATATCCACTATATGTAATACTGAAGTATTAATTATATACATTGATTTGTGATATCTTTACCTCGTTACGTGGAAAATGGGTTTTTTAATGCTTTATCGAGGATTTATATGACGTGAGTCTCGTAGGATCCAATTGGGCCCAATTGACGCAATGTTTAGATTGCACCAAATTGGCCCATATTGGTTTTAAACTGTTTTAGTGTTTATAATTGTGAAGAATGAAATTTTATTATAGTGCAAATACCATTTACATATATTATATCTTTATATAGCATACTATTATCTAAACAACATCTATAATGTCTTTTCTCACTATTTGCTTTATTATATGATCATACAATTATTATTATATGCGAGATATATTATATCTCCGGATCGATCGTGGTCCAGAGAGTTTAAGAGTGTTAAACCATTTATAGAAAAAAAGTTGATGACATTTTCTTACTCTTATTGCAAATATAAATGTCGATCTAAAGATTTTATTGCAGATTATTAATGCCAATCTAAGGGATTATTGCAATCGATGTTTCCTGTTCTCATTAAGAATAGAATCTATCGAATGAAATTATTAAAAGCAATCGTTAACTCGTAGTGTGACAATTGTATGTATATTAATTTATTCATAAGTAAAAAAATCAAAAGTTATCAAAAAGGTGGAGGGAACGAGAGTATATTTATAGTTTAACAGTCTGAATAGTTTGTACAAGCAGCGTTTGCGCTAATTCGACGTGAATTTTATATTTATGTATAACTAATTTCTTTCATACATGAAGCTGTATTTTATATGTATGGCAGTTATACATAGGCTTATACTCAACGTATAATTGAACGTTGCTTGTTTGTGTTGCAAACTATGAGAAATAAATAAACATAGAAGTCTATATATCATACAATTTATACACTTTGAAAAATTTTTACCTCTGAACTCGAAGCGATCTTTTCCTTTTCAGATGTATATATATTTCAGTTAATCAAACTTAATATAGTCATTTGCAGGTACAATAAACAATGGAGCATTCTTATGACCACAAAATGTGTTGTGAAGGGGCTGCGCGGTACAATGTCTGTCAGAATATAGACGAACTTTATTTCGAACGCGGGCTTTGGACGGCAGGTAAATGAAAGTGATACCGTTGCTGATACAGATATTTATTTGGAATAAGGTAGACTGTAAATGAAGTATTTCAGAACATTATAAATGAACAAGATCGCAAATGAATTAGATGATCATACCGTTCAGATTTGATTGTGCGCTTCAGTCTTATAATGAATTCAGAATTTAATTGACTTTGTTCTTATTATTATGTTTAAAAGGTGATTGGATAATATGCAAAATAGAAACCATATATAATACAAAATAAAGATTGATTTCTGAACGAATTATAAATAAAAAGCTATTAAAAACATGTATAATTCGAAGCTAATTAAGATTTATACTCAGTATCTATAGATTTATAAAATGTGTTATTGAAAAAAAAATTATTTATTACAGTAATACAAAATTTATAACTCTATTACTGCTTTTACATTGTAAAAGTAATTATTTTATATTGCAATAAATATTAAAACATTATTATTATTATTTATTATTATAATGATTATGTTATTAGTACTTTGTGTCATTTTTGTATTGCTTGTAATAATCTTTTTTTACGATTTTTGATTCTGAGAATATGATATTCATCAGGAATGTTGCAATCTGACAATGAGAGAATCAGTTCTATATGAGTTTAGATTTCAGGAATGTGGCTTCTTTTTCTGCGTTCTTGCATTGGCTTGCGTTTTTTTCAGCGCTGGATGGTGACGAGGATCGTGTCCTTAAGCTACTGCAGAAGGGCGTCTTCGTCGATACACCGGACACGACTGCCGGCTACACAGCGTTGCATTACGCAACGCGGAGTGGGCATTACCACGTGTGCAAGATTTTGCTGCAGCACGGTGCGAATGTGAACGCGTGCACCCGCAGTCTGAGAGCGACGCCCTTGCATCGCGCGGCCAGTATGGGCCATGTTAAAATCCTCAAGCTGTTGCTTACCTACAAAGCAGATCCCAATCTGACAGATGTAGACGGCAGGACAGCTTTGCATCGGGCTATTCCAATGATAGCCGGTTCCGTTGAAGGCGTCGAGATCCTTCAGTCATTATTGCGGATCACCGATCGCACCATCAAAGACAAAACCGGGCAAACTGTCGATGACGTGTTTGAAAGTTGGAAAATGACGCAGAGTGAAAACGAAAAAATAGAAATAATGGAGACATTGTTTTATCACAATCAGGAACAATAAGATGAGAAGTTTGGTGAAAAATGTGTGGAAGTGCAAGTATGCATTTCCTTTTTACGAAGAAATCTTGTAAAACGTCAAAGTTTGATTTTTAGAAAATATTAGTTAAGGCGCAAAACGATTTAACAGAGGAGTACAATAACTTCTTATAATGATTTTTAACTTTTTTTCATTGTATCAAAAACTATTTAAGATAAAAAATTGTATGCAAAAAGTTTTATAAAATAGAGTCACTTTTATTTATCCACATATCAATTTTTTTAAATATTGAAAATATAATTTTTGAAAATATTGTTTTTTTAATATTGATGTGGATAAATAAAAATTTTTTATTGCAAACATTTTGTACACAACATTTTTTAATATCTTGAATAGTTTTTGAGATAACGGAAAAAGCTATAAATCTATTTAATCTCTTAACCATTTTTTCAAATTGATATTTTCTAAATTTATCTATGTTTATGAAACTTATATATGTATACTAGATTTCATTAAAATCAGAATTTAGTATTTTGCGTCCTTTGCGAGATTGTCTTATTAAATAAAAGCCACCTCATCTGAAAGTAATATCATATTACGGCTTTCAACAATATAATTGT